ACTACAATATGTTGAAATAAATTCGTTTCCGATGAGTGTTTGGAACTACGAGTCTACGACCTACACAACTAACCTTATACCGGCAAAACTTTGGTTGGGTTTTGGAAGTGCCGCAGAATAAATATCTTTCTTCACGTTCCACAAGCATTCGGCGAATGTACAACTATTCAGTATTTCAGCAGGAAACTAATAGAGTCAAATAAATATTGTACTAGATTGTCCTTTCCCAATATGATATTCAAGCTTATTAGACACTTAATAGTTATTGCATATTTTTCAAAAATAGAATAAACACGGTGCCTGACATAATGTACTTACCTCCCATGCAGGTAGGCAGATGGATCTCAGTTTTGAATTAATCGGTAAGATATATTTAATTAAACATTTGGTATGCAGTTGAAGATTTTGCTGATGTATTTCTTCTTAACTGCAATTTTATAATTTTCCCAAAACATAGCGTGAAATTGGAGCTACTAAATGGACGATTCCAGCAATAGTCCAAATTTTGATTTGGGGAAGAAGAACGAAATCCATAGTTGCAAAGAAAATCTTCAAACGCGTAAAATTGCAATGTTTGGTTGCGAACTGTTGTAAAATGAGGAAAATATATGGTCCTGTGAAGTTCGCAAATTTTGGCTAGGCTATATTTGCATTACGCGCGGGAAAAATAAGCATTTTTGAGCCGAAAGTTGTTATTTTTACCGCGCGTAATACAAATATTTACAAAACTTGCGAACTTCACAGGGCTACATTTTCTTCATTTTACAACATTTAGCAACCAATATCTTTGCAGTTTTACGTCATTCGTCCCAGCTCTTTCCAGCTGTGGTGTTGGATTTCGTTCTTCCTGCCTTGATCATAATTTAGTCTATAGATTCAATCACCTATTGATACATTCTAACTTATCTTGATACATTCTAATGCCATTTGATTATTTCGTGTTAGACTGGGCAGTCTTGTATATCTGTATTATAGCTAAGCCTATGACATTTCCGATGCCGTGTTATTTTTAAGTATGTTGTTCTACTTCTCTATACTGCATCTGCTTTATTTTTCATTTTGCATGGTAGTTTCTAGTTCACTCGATAATAGATAGGCCTATGTTACCTTTCTTGTGCATGAGGAAAGTGAATTAAGTCACCGAGGGAAAGATTAAGCTATTACGTACATATAAAAAATCTAATTAATACACAGCATGAGAGTATTCCACAAGAACAGGTATACCTGTCTAACCTACAATCTTGGCCAAAAGTTCGTAGAACGACAAAACAAATTCGCAACTTTTTAATATACTTGAGTTTTAAAATTATTTTGCACCTAACCCCGCTCCCCCCATTCAATGTTGGTCTCCTACATTTCTAGTACAAGTACAATTTTGTTGTGCAGTAAGTCAGATCATAAATATACACGAAACGGCAACATTGAATGGGGGGAAGGGGCGAGGCTTTAAAAGGCATAAAAATTTATCGTCGTCCTACGGTTTATGGCCAAGATTGTAGTTTAGATCATATTAATTATAATCAGAAATATACATATACTATAGTCAAAATGCCGAGTTAAATTAAGCCCTTAAGCTCATTTTACACCAAACAAATATTAATTGTGCCAAAGTGATCGATCAGCGAAAAAATTCGCCACGAGAAAGTTGGATCGGTTCCCACTTTTTACTGGGCCCGCGAAAAAATTCACCTATATAGTGAAAAATGGGCTTTAATCAGATGGATATTTACACGCAAAGAAAAAATCCCAGCATTGTGCGTGAAAATGCCAGCATTGTGCGTCAAGTTTTACAACTATTTCTAAATGTTCGAAAATGTTGTTTCTAATTCGCAGGTGGCATTTCACATACAACAAAATATAGGAGCTCCTTAGAATCAATTTCCAAACAAGTTATGAAAGGCATGCAACTGACAGGTCCACGTATGGCCAATAAATTTAATTGAAACCTTTACGAATCACATTAGTTTTATGAATATTACCAATTCCTAACCAGCTTTATAATGACAAATGAATACACTCAGTCCGGGTGTCCCTACCAGAAGCTCTGCTCAGAGCATTTTTAGCTTGAAATGCATGGAAGCCTTTTAAATCTAAAATGCTTTAAATATTTAGAAATGAACACACACTGCTCCGTATTTTGACAGGTCAATTTAAAAGTAATATATCTGTGCTACAACTGTGGAACTTGATTTAAAATATAGTTGAAATTTTACAAAAGCAAAAATATTGCTTAAAATAAGAATTTTGCAAGAATTTTTTTCTAGGTAAGAATTCTAAATTTTGCTGTGTAGTCACTTAAAGTTATTTTATACTTTTTGCAATTGAAAATAAAAGAACGACTAAAGTGTTTCGCTTAATACACTACTTCCTATTCTGGTAGCTAGATATTTTTGAAAGACTGTGATGCATGCAAGGTGTTCCCGAACAAATTTCATGGAGCTCACGATTTTGAAATTCTTCTTGGCTGCATTTTAAGATCTTTCTCAATGCCGTGTTAACGTATTTAGTATATTTTAATTCCAATAAATAATTGTTTGTTACATTTGACAGTCTTTTATACCCATCTATTTTATAGATTATATTTGCAAAGATTTTGTGCATTTAGATCTAGGCTATATATATACCACTGCCCACGTGCTTTACTTTTATTCATTGCTGTTTTAGTTTCCAGTTTACTCGATAATATTTATTAGGACTACTATTACTTTTCATAACCGACATTCTTTTGTGAATATTGGGAACTATATACGACCTAAATAACTCTATAGTACAAAAATTTTGCTAGGTTTTGGCGTTCTTGACGTTTCGAAGAATTGCGCAGACAACCGTCAGAAAAGTTGACGTAGCCTATCATAGAAATGAACATCGAACTACACCGCACTAGTTTGGATCATATACTCAAAATCCGAAACAAATACTGGCTATTCGGAACAAATACTGGCTATTCTCCAGATTGTTATCATTTTACTGGCAAATAATAAATGACCTGGCCAAAATATCTCGCAAGAAAATTCTTTTAAATCTATAATAAGACGCTTCGTATATTTGTAACTATAACATATATCTCCGTATTTCTATATGCCTGTGAACTAGAAAGCAGTTTATCTGGGCGACAATATACATATTTTATGTTTTGCACTTGCTTTTGTTCAAACTATTGAGACGATGATGATAATTATGATGTTGAAGACGGTGATGATGATGACCAACCTTCATTTAATGAGAGTAACTCGTATAATAGCTATATAATTGCTATAGTAGAGACAAATACTAGGCAATTGTAACTAGGAATGCAAAGCAAACATATAAATTTAAGCTAAACTATCAAGAACTTACCAAAATTCAATTTCAATACTGTATCCACTAACGCTCAATGAACATTCAGCAGATGTACGACTATTACGCATATGAAAGTTGTGCAAACGAATAAATGTTGTATTCAAATTTTCCTTATTCAATAAAATATTCATGATCGCATTGTCATTACAAAGTCACTTAATTAAAAGTTATTGAATATTATGTTTTGCCAATTGAACAACAATAAAGCGTTGATTTAATATATTACTTTCCTTTCACGCAGCTAGATATTTCGGAAGAATTGTTATGCAAGGTATTCCCGAACAATTTTCATGGTGCTGACGATTTCGCTGATGAAACTCTTTTCAGTTGCAATTTTGTGATATTCCGATGCCGTGCTAAATCGGGTCATTATACTGAGTGTATTTTAGGATATTTATATCTCATTAAATAATTGCTTGTGACATTTGTCAGTCTTGCATATCTATCATTTTTGTATGATTGTCTATTAGGGTTCCATGCATTTTGATCTACTCCTATACCTACTGCATCTGCTTTACTTTTATTCGTTTCTATCTTAATTTTCTGTTGATACGATACTCGATAATATTTATTATTGCAGGTGGCATTTCTCTAAATATATAGCACCCCTGCAGTGTGCGAAGTAACGCTGTAATATCGATTTTTCACTGTATCTTCCCTCGCTTCTTGTACGCCTCAATGGGAGAATGGGTCACAAAACGGCAACATTTATATTTATATATTTATATATATATATATATATATATATATATATATATATATATATATATATATATATATATATATATATATATATATATATATATATATATATATATATATATCTATATATCTATCTATATATATATATCTATATATCTATCTATATATATATCTATATATACATATCTATATATATATCTATATATACATATCTATATATATATATATATCAATAGTTGTAAATGCACAACTGAATGATCAGAAATCAGAGGATCGAAGATATTGTAATGGTTAACAATGTTTTCTTCAGATCGCGTTATAATTAAATCCAGTGTGTGACCACTTGCATGTGTTGATCCAGAAATGTACTGCTTCAAATCAAAGGAAGCGAGAAGATCCACGAACCGTTTGGTAAGAGGGTCATTAGGATTGTCCAGATGAAAATTGAAATCTCCAGCTATCAAGAGTTGCCCGGGTGATACAATAATTCCTTCCAAAAAGGATGAGAACTCTTCAAAGAATAGAGTAGATGTCAATGAGTTAGCCGATGAAGGAGGCGGCCGATATACAACAATAATTCTAATATGTAGAAAGTTCAAAAAAGAACTGTCAAGGTATTCAAATGACCTAAATACCTCCTATTAATACGCTTAATATTAAGACTTTCCTTGAATAAGAGACCAACGCCCCACCGATTGATCCATGTCTCGGTGTATGCAGAAAACTATAACCTGTTGGGCATAGATCCCCAATAATCAAATCGTTCCCACTTGGAGGGAGCCAAGTTTCCGTCAAAGCAAGAATATCAGTATCTTTATCCACAACAAAATCTTTAATAATCATAGTCTTGTTTCTAACCGATCTGGCATTAAGAAGGCAAAAATCAAATAAGTTTGTAAGTTCACATTTAGAAGTAGAAGGGACCGTAGGCACAACAATTAGGTTAGAATAGAAACAGTTTATGACCGAATTACTTTGCGGACCAGCTCCAGATGCCTGAGCCAGTCCGTCTGATGTCGATGTCGAAAACCCTGACTCCGGTACGCACGTCTATGTTTATTTACTTTCTCTGGGTTCACTGGCAGTGGACGGTGAGTGATACGTACTGGAATGCTTCGAAATTGTTGACCACGATCATGTAAATAACTAGAGCAAGATTGCCTACCAGGAACATTATAATGACAGCTTTGTTCCTTTTGAATAGGATTTGTACGGCTTCTCGTATGGGAAAGCTCGCCTATTTTCGACTGTTCACTATTGTTCCTAACAGGGAAAACTACCTTTGTCAGGGTTAATTCCTCTTGTGAGTGATTGATGGATTTTGGCAATGGCACCAAATCATGGTGTGACGTTTTCTCGCATGACTGATCTATGGCCATAAAAGTTTCTGTGTTATCCGGTACTTTTATTGGTGTGAAGCATGCATCGTTAGCGGTCCGAACAACAACGGGATTAATGTGAGGATTTGAATTACTAACCTCTTTTGTTTTGTTCGTGCCGCCGCTGCTAATGGGTGTAGAGGTTGTCAACATATTTTCGAGATTTGCATGATTTTTCGGCTCTTTTGGTCGGCAATCGTTCATGCGTAATATTTGGTTTTCCACGGCTTGGATTTTATGGTTGAGTTTCGATTCCAAAACAACCAAGTCTAATTTCAAACCCTCCAAGTCTGGTGATAGCTTCGAACATTCACAACCCGTACACTGGTGTTTTGTTGGTTGGTTTTCGTTTAAGGAGTTCTCGGTGTTAGTAGCCATGTCCACACCAGACTTGATACTATCGAGGTTTAAACTCGTAAACATAGCGTTGATCATACAACGTTTGATTCGATTTGCATCCTCTCCATTGATCTTTAGGAACTTTTTGTTTTTCCACCAAAGCAACTCAACGTTGTCTGACACGAAAAGTTTTTTCTCGTTCGCCGGGGATGACCAGCTTCCCTGCAACTCTAGGTCACTCTTTACAAACTCCTTCAAACGATCAAAGTCGCCAGCCCAGGATAGTCTTAAATTCGCTCAAATTCGTATGTGTTGAAGATTGAAGATTACCACAGACACAATTTTTAATCCGTTCCCTCCTCGGGAATCTGACGGTTCCGTGTTGACAAAAACGTCACTTGCTTAATTAAGCTCCCCGCTGTTTAACTAGGCCTCGTTTACACTATGGACAAGTGGTCACGTAGCGGAACATTAGATGCTCGTCATCGTCTTACGCCATTACGTACGCACGCCATAATCTCGTTGAGTCGTAGTACGTAATTGTCTAATTTCAAAAATCCTGTTGTCAATTTGGCGACGTCTACGAGACCTGATGCACATGACCTACAATCGTCCACAAAATATATTGAGACTTTTTAAATCACTCCCCTCCCCCCTTATTTCAATGTTGAAAGCCTACTGTAGACGAACATAAGATGACACTAGAACCGCAACCGTGTCACTGGCAGTTGAACTTTAACATATGATGTTGGAATTAAACTATATTGTAGTGCCTAACGACATAGAAATCGGGGGAGGGGGTTTGTCTCAAATATTTTGTGGACGATTGTTAGACTTGGATCAAGTCCGTCTCTCCAGAGTCCGAGTCGAGTCGCGCGCCCGGCTTCGGACACATGACCGCAAACGGCAAATTTCAAATCGTATATATTTGAAGTGATATTTCACATCCGACCGATGAGGACTGGACTAGACTTGAAGTCCGCGCAATTTGATCACGTCCGAGGCGAAGCCGAGGGCTGGATTAAAATGCGAGGACTTGAAATCTAGTCCAGTCCGAATTGGAGGATTTGAAATGACATTTCATACGAATAAATCACTACTTAAAGTGAGGTGAATTAATTTTCATCCAGTTCTGGGACTAAATCAGTATACTTCATCAGGTATGCAGTATTATCATGTGAGCAAAATAAAGCAATATGATTGGCTAATTTACTTTATTTTTGGCTAATTTAATGTTGTCATAGATGTGAAAATTATTGATACAATGATTTATATCTTATCAAAACTATATCAAACATGTCTCAAAAAATGGGAAGTTTTCAGCCACTAACAGTCTATAAGACAATCAAGGTCAAGATATAAATTTGTTTCCTATACTGAATAATTGCAGTCAACTGTATTTGGCCCAGACGGAAATTTTTTTTGCGCAGGAAATATTTTTCCTTGGGAGAAATGCATAGAAATGTTGGATATTCCCCCCAAAAAAATTATGGTAGACCAGAGATTCTTGCAGTCAGCCAGCGTTTTTGGCAAACAGGAGGTTCAGAAATCTGCTTGGTTCATAGTTCACAAAGACATTTCGCGCAGATTCTTTGGAAATTATTTTTTTTTAAATTTGAGGAATTTTGCGCAGATTCTCATTATTTGCAAGAATTTCTGCGCAGGAAATTGATTTCCTCCAAAGTCAAAACTTGGGTAAATTTGATCCGAGGAACATTAATTAAACTACCTTGCATCATTGACAGACGGGAAACGCAGGTCAACGTGTTTACACGATGCGAATTAACCAGACTAATTTTTGCACGTTTCTTTTGGCCTCGTACGAACATTTAATTTACAGTTTATTTATTTCGCGCATGTGAGGGCCACAAGTTTATATATTAGTTGTAAAACTATTATGTGTTAGCCTCGTTAAATAAAGTTTAAATGAAATGAAAATGTGTTTAATTGACACCTCGGTTCCCAATACAAAACAAATCCTTTGTTTATATTTTGAACTGCTATATTTGTAAGATAAGACATACTAACTGAATATCTAACACTTTTCTGGTTCGCAATTGTAAATGAATATAAACTAGAGTACGTTTCAATTCAAAAAACTTCGAAAGATATCGAGGGACATTGAGGCGCATGCGTTTAAATTATGGTAACTCCAGACGAAGGGGCTTCGCTCGAAACGTCGAAATTCTCCTTATATTTTTCAGGTAGTTGTATCCCTACCAACGAAAGCTTGTTTATATTATTGACATTACCTACACTGGCACAGACAGTTCAAGATTATGTTTTGTAATATTGATACATAAGCTAGCATTAGGCCTATTAATAATCTAAGTTTTGTTTCGCTCGCTACTCTGGTTTAAATAAATGATTACAAAGCCCAGTCGAATTGTAATCAAGACCCTCTTGATTGTAATCAAGACCCAGTCGAATTGTAATCAAGACCCTTTTCGACTGGGCTTTGTAATCATTTATTTAAACCAGAGTAGCGAGCGAAACATGATTGATATACCTGGTTCCAGTGAACGAACAAACTTTAAATCTAAGTTTTAATTAAGAGAAATATGAACTATCATTTGTATCTACACTTTCTTTAAACACTTCATTATCGATATTCCTACCTGGCTGAAGTCAACAATATCAATCACAATGAGTTAAAACAGAAGTATGATGCTTATATGTTACTGCTTTAAAGGTCCGATTTACGACATCAAGTTCAAATGACCCCTAAATCTCAATGGCGTCCGACCACGTCCGACAAAATGTGTTATAGGCCTTATAAACTCTTCAGTCTTTATACGTGCCCTGGACATATGATATGGGTCAGTGATGAAGCATTGTCAATCACTCTAGGATCTTCATGCAATTTAACAGTCAACCACATCTGTTTTTTCTTGCATGAAAGTAATACGACTCTTTTGCTTGACGGCTGGAATTTTATTATACTGTAACACGGAAATAGTATGGCTATACTATGGATTTGGAGCATTAGGTGCAATCCCATAGTTGTTTTTTCCAGTGACAAAATAACAAATTACCTGTAAAGATTCTTTCTATAGAAACGTTTATACAAATTATAACAAAGCTCCATAATTAGCTGACGACATATTGAACACTTGCCTCTTTTTGCTTGGTTTTGGGTCAAGCTGGCATTGCCATTTGCGATATATTGTTTCGAGCGAAATTCTTGTGGCCGGTAGGTTTTAATGGTTGCTTACAATTTCATGTGGAACGGTAGAAGATATTAATATGCATTGGAGTGAATATATAGATATCGTCAATGCAATATGTTTAAATTGATATGTATAAACAAACACATTATGCTAAAATTGTTTATTATCATTCCTATTATAATAATGGGCCGTAAGCTATGAAGCAGACTCTTTCGTAATTGTGTGTTTATAAACAAACAACGCACACTCGAAAATCGAGAACTTTCGAAAACAGCGTACTTTAGTGCCTGGGATCGGGAATAAGCAGGAACGACGATTTCACCCAAAAGCATTCATAATGCTACAACCTGCGTTGAAAGATGTTTCAGGCTGGGAGAATTAAATATTAGATAGCTTAATTTTTAATAAGATCTACGACGTCGACGTCAGCTAGAACGTCAGGGCTAAGCAGAGGACTGGGACTAGGATGTCGTCCTAAATAAATAAACTTCCACTTAAGATTCACGACGTAGACATTTAAGCTATAAATACTTACATCCTTTTGAAAATGAATTTAAAAGAAACGTGTGAAAGCATTATCGTTTGTTATGCTCTTGTATCCATGACCGTAAAACTCTTGTTGTGAGGTTGTGGACGTTTGGTGGACGACGAGCAAATTGAGAGAGACACATGCACACTTCAAAAACTATTACTTCCACTTGCCGCCCTAAATATTTGACGTCGTAGATACTTGAGCTATCTACTTATTTAGGACGACGTCCTAGTCCCAGTCCTCTGCTTAGCCCTGACGTCCTAGCTGACGTTGACGTCGTAGATCTTAAGCTATCTATTACGTCATAACTACGAGTCAGAATACGTGCAGCGGAAAATTTTGAAGACGATAACGTAAATCCATGAAATTTAACATGCAACACTGACGTCGTGTTCCGGACTTCGTCATCTGCTCCTTAGATTTCAACATGCTCTCTAGAATTCAACATGTTTCTTGTTTGTATACACTCTCACCAATTAGGAGTTTTTCGTCTTTGTTTCGCAAAAACGAAGGTATTTTCGAAGTAGTACGTCGGTTCACTAAACTTGCTAGCGACCTAACCAATCAAAGCTCACAGTAAAAGTCAACACCAACAACCAGCATGCTTTGTAAGCTACATGTGGACGGTTAGCCTACGTCGTTAGGAACGAGCTTGAGTCCATGACGTAAGGCTCGGACACGTGTGGTGAATGCACAAGAAAATGTTTGCGGGACGCCGGCAAACAAATCCGGATATGTGAAGCACTCAGAACTGGCCAGAGGAGAATCATATCATAGAAAATATCGGTCAGAGCAGAATCATCTGTCAAAATGTTCGACGACTTTCAGTTTGACATATGTATTGTGATGTCCGATCACTTTGAGTTCATTTTAATTTTAATTTTCGGCACAAGATGTAATAGTAGCAGGGAGCTTAAAGGCACAGTTCAGCCTTAGTGAATGATGTTTTAAGGCGCATTTTAGGCCTTTTAATTGAAAAAACTAACTAGGAAAATCAATTATGCATAATTCAAGATCTGTAAACTCAATGTTTTTAACAATAAAAATGTTTTAAAATGTTAAAAATATTGGGTTTACTGATCTTGAATTATGCTTAATTGACTTTCAAATAAATGGAAAGATAATTCGTGGTATATTATCAATTGTATGAATTTAATACAGTCTTAGACTTAGAAGTTGAAGACATGGGTTTTGTGGTTGGGAAGAGTTCTGCTGAACCCAGTTTGAAGTTGCACTTGTTGTGGCTTGGAATGCAGCCGTTGTATCAAGACGTGAAAATCAGTGATCTGGCGTTGTAAACAGAGCGAGGACAATGTCTAAATTATTCATATATTGTAATTATTCAATTCTTTTCAATGATTTATTGTATTGGTAGCCGTTGCCGTCGCGTTGCCGTCCTAAAATCGTAAGGTCTCTGGTGTATCTTAAGTCCCGACGAAGAGCCTTCGGCTTCGCTCGGAACGTCGCCGGAAGTTTTGTTCGTACTTTTCTGGAATAGTTATATTTTTCGCAAATCCTGCAGCTGTCTTGTTTATATCGTCACCACCCACACTGCATGGGACAGACCGAGATTATACATTTATTGGAAACATCGATTAGCTAAATCACTTCTGTTCAAGATCAACTTTCTGATTCGTCCAAACCCGTTGATAAAATGTGTTTGTGTGTGGGTGTTTTGCATGGGCGTGTGTGGCAGCGGGCGATATCTAACCAAGAATATATAGAACTCACAAGATCTCGGCTTAAGATTCTCCTCTAAATAGGTTTCCGTTTATATAGATTATAGATATCAAATTTAATATTCTACCTGGCAGGTGTATCTGAGCATTATCTATTTGTATTTAAATAAATTTTGTTCATTTCAATTTGCCTCAAACCGAAGGTCTTCAATATGTACTTCACTCAACATGCAATCCCGAAATCGTTTTTCTTAACATTGCGAGACAAGTTCCGAGACAAGTTGCTTAGTGTAACAGCCATATATATCTTATATACACTAGATAGCGCATTTCTCTAAGTAAAATTGAAGCCAAGAATATTCCAGCGGTTACCCCCATTTGAATAGATGGCGGCCATGTTGGAGTTCCCACTCGCTAATAAACGCTTAAAAAACAACAATAACTTTCATCATTTGAATAGTTTGAAAATGTATTTGGAATAGGTTTAACTTAATGTTTAAGTTCCCTGTTTAAGAAATAGAAAACATACGAGTCTTCTCATTTCATGGGAATATCCGGAGTCTGCAATCACGGCTTCAATGAACTATCTCGTGTATATAAGATATCTATGGTAACATGCAGCGCCTTATCTTAGCGGTTAACCGAGATGATTTGTTTACTATAAAGCTCTTCTCATTAACGGCATTTATAAAAGTTCATTCAAACTATATTAGGCCTTATACATATAGTCATAGGTATAATCATGAAAAATCACGTGTTTCATATGTTTTAATCTTCGGGATTCTGTATAATCTTACTCCGAAAATTGTGCAAATCGCATCGCATTTCAAGGACTCCCATATAGATTTCAAAATTTTCTCGAGGGAGCATGTTCCCGGAAACCGCCTCGTTCTATAATCCAGCCCACCGGGCGCCCATCACAAGTCAGAGCGGTACAATTTTGATCGATTTACACCGCATTCGGTTTCAAGTAGCCGCGACTTTTTGAGTATTTCCTAAAAGCGAGCATGCAGTTATTCTATGTAAACGACATCTTGACAATGCCAGACACCGATGTCTGAAGACTGAAACCTTACCAGTAATTAGTCCTCATGAGATTCAGTTTATAGAAACTTTTTCTCTCGTTGTTTGTTTATTGCTACGCACGCGATCAAATCCCGTACTCGTATAGTCGCTGCTAAAGCTCCCTATCACGCAATGGTGGTACGACTTTATGTAAACATGGCTTCTTCCAAATATTTTTAGTTGTAATTAAACCTGGTAGGAGTTATCATTTGCAAGGAATTAAGTGCTGCCTAAGACTGGGCATCGTGTTTTACTGGTTCTTATATGCTCGTGTTGTTCTACCGTGTTCCAGTCACGAAACTGTGGACGCTACGAAATTTCTAGCTGCGGGCTCTAATAAAAGCATAAGCAAGTGGAACTGTGGAACCCGACACCCGTGTCATCACTAGATAGGGTCGATAAAGCATAAGCAATCAGTATTCACATAAGCATATTAAGGAAAAGAACGCAGGGTTTTGATATTCTTATGCATGTTTATGTTTACGCGAGGAAATTAGAAATTAAATCAGGACCACGCTTTACGTAGGACAGTTGTCATAATATTTACATGCCATCTATTATCGAATGCTTGCAATTTGGACAGAGACAATTTCAGTCAATTATAAAGAATGGAGTATTTTCCCAGTATAAAACCCTGATTGTATATATTTTACTAAGTAAAAATTATTAAATAAACGCGACCGAACGCGCATATAATGTGAAAGTATAATTATTGTTCAAACACAGCAGTCAATAAGTCATTACTCATTAGAATATTACAGAGACTGAGTTTACGCCGACCGCTAACCGCGAAGGACAAACGTCCAAATCGCAGTTGAAGGTACGTTCTATGACTATGCAAGTTTTCGACAGCTATAGACTTTATTCCTCAATTTTAATGCACAAATTATCCAATTCCCCTCAAAATACGATTTGCCGTTTTCTCGGTATAGGCTAATATAAATATTAAACCGCGTACCTTCAGAAGCAGTCAAAAATAATTCCATATAAACCAGAAATTTAATCCTATAAACCTATACCTATCTGAGATACATTAGAACTAAAGCGTAACGACAAATTACCTGAAAACCTCTTCGTTCTTGCAAATTTTGAAATTGTTGAAAGTGTACGTCTCCTCTCTACCACGGCAAAATCGCTTCTCTCGGATACAGTAGATGTCCCCATGTAATATAGTTGATGGAGAGATATAGCTACTTCAATATATTGACGTAATTTGATAAGAACACGCATGTTTTAAATTCCTCAACGCGGAAACAGCTCTTGAAATATGACGGAAAACACCAGAAAAATATGAATATATGCGGGGGTTGAACTTTCCCGTGAAAGCTAGCCAGCTCTAAGACAATTCAGTTTGGTTTTAATTTGCAAATTTTTGTAAACGAGTTAATGATAACGTCTTTGTGATATAGCTCTTAATTAAGTTTAGATTAATATCAATGTGATTATTAAACATTATAACATGTCCAATATGCCGCCATGCATACATGCAAGACTAGTATCATATCATTCAATTGCGTTCAAGAAGATAGACGGCGATTTCTATCATGTAGTAAGCGAGGTAGCGAGTCGAGCTGAAATGCGATTGAGGGTTCGAACCCCAGGCGCAATGGTGAAAATGATCATTGGCATTGTGCCACCAAATTAATTAAAACCCATGCAATAATTGCATTCAAAGATAAATGTATAAGTATATAAGTAATATAGTTAACTATACGATGCAAGCTAACTGCTGCCCCATACTACAACTATCTGGTGAAGCCAAAACAAAACAAGTTGGTTTGAACCTTGGCTAGTAAGAATTTTGAAGTTATATATATACATATCGATGCTGTATATAACTGCTATACTGCAAGGCTGGATCTATCAGTAAACTAAGAGTATGAAATGTTATTCATTTTCCGGTAAATTTTATTCGCCTTACGTCAGAAATTCCTTGGAAGTTAGAGCAAAAATTGCCTCCTATTGCATGAGTCTTGCATGGCCTTTCAGTTTCACATGAAGTAGGCGTATATTAATTATGAAATAAAAAAAGTCGAAGAAAAAACCCGACATTCCTAGGCATGTTCACAAAGGTTTTAAAAGGCTGATACGGAAGGATGCAAAAATGGAATAGATCATTTTAGATTTTAAAGTCTCGACTGCGCATCCAAAATGACGCGATGAGTCTGCGTCGGGATAAATCGCAGTTTAACTTTAAACTATATATACAATGTGTATAGAAAAAAAGGTAATCGAACTTCGGCGCGCTATTAATAGTACGTGAATTACTCGGCGTATGAACAACATTTTTTCATATTCGGAAAGATCAGGCTTTTAGCTTTTCAATGATATGTTTTCATGCCAATTAGTGGAGAACAAATCACTAAAGCAACTTAAGCAAGTATATATGAGTCCGATAAAAAATGTTAGTCAGAATCGCATATTTTCACCTCTACATGTGCCTAATTAAAGTAGCGCATATAAGAAAAGAAAAAGCAATTAATCACGAATTCGTCATAGCTTAGCTAATATTTATTCCTACTTGATAATAATTATGAATATGTGCGTAGTTTGATGAAGTGAAATTCATCAACTTAAATCCTAAAGATGGTTAATTTTCAATGGTTTTAGACCCAACTGTCAACCGGCGGTGAAAATTAATAAAATCATAAAAAGCCTGATCTTTCCGAATATGAAAAAATCTTGGTCATATACACAAAGTAATTCAGATGCAATAGCGCGTTGAAGTTCGATTACCTTTTTTTTTATACACCCTGTATTGATAACACGCAGCTGGGACTAGAAAAATTAGAATATGCATATTGAATATACATGCAAACAGTTGCTCAAAAGTGAAACAATTAATTTGCGCACGAAAAATATAATTGGCCCAAGGCACGTTTCAGACGTCCAACTTTTCATGTGCCGAACGAATGCATTAAAGACAATAAATAATGAGGTAGTTCAGATGATTATCTATTGTTTTGAATGAATTCGGCACATGAAAAGTTTGACGTCTGAAACGTCGACAACGCGGCCGTCGCGGCGCCGGATTTTTCAGTTTTTGAAAGTGAATAAAACAGCCATGCAATGAAAGGAAATAGTTTAAAATATATTTCAATTAAGGTTGTCCCCAAGCAAAGCGGAAAAGTCGAATACGAGCGCGCTGAAAGGCTGCTGGGAATTTTTTAGCAGTCCCCGCTTCCCCGCAGCCTTTCGCGCTCGTGATTCGACTTTTCAGCTTTGCTCTGGCCGAGAGTCCCCGAGACAACTTTTTTTAAATCGAAATAGCTTGTTGATATGGAATGTCCGATAGCGCTTCTAAATATTAATTTTGAAAAACTTAAACCAAGATCAAAGTTATGTAAATTTTTTAAAATTCTACCATGTAATTCAGTTTATAATTATGCTGCAATTTGGTTCTAATAAACCGATTATTATTATCGGTCAGTGAAAATGGAAAGATCGCGCCGTATTGTCAAATCGCGCGTCCGGTGTGTCTTTAACCTGCGATCAGGCCTATAAATAAAATAGAGCCTGATGCACCTTTCTATAATTTGCTTTTACACAGAACTCATGCAGAAGACAAAATATAAATATGCCAGTATAAAAATTATTCAAAGGCTATAGAAACGATACACCTGCAATGTATCTCGAGCCGAGGCTTGCAGAACGCGCATGCAGTTGTTGTACCATTTGCCTTGGATGCGCAAGCGAGGTTCTGCCGAAAGCAATTATAACACACGTCAGGACGATTTCACAACGGGGCGCAAAAACCGACAAATTTTTAGTTGAGTCATAAAGTGATATGTTTATGAAACATGCAATAACATCGCGAATCTTATTAAAGAATTATTTCGATAATTCATGATTATATAATAACGTAAAACATTAATTTAACTTCCGTTTCTTTCTTTGCAAGTTTTCAACGCAATAAATATGATTGTTATTGACTATTGTGCATGTTACATTCATTTTCCAATTAATTAACATATAGACATAGTGCTCTCTGCAAAATATATAGACATAGTGCTCTCTGGCAAATATTATTCTTAGTGCACGTCCCTTGTGGAAAGCAGCTTAAGTCGACATGATCAGCGTATTTAAATAAAGTTTTTACTACAACTACACTAGACCCCACACGCTTTAGATATCTTTTTCACGTAATTCAGACACAATATACGACATGCAGCTTATATTAGCCCGAATGAAGCTTTGAAAGTTTGAAGAAGCTAGACACTCATTCAATTGACGCAACTCGTGCACGCAAGACTACTGTAAACACTTTTTTATTTTCCACAATAATAACCATTATTAGAATAAGCACGTCCAAGCAACGACCAATTTTGGGCAATTTTCGTTTTTGTTATCTAAGAGCTTCCTTTTATATAGGAATTCTAACGCCGGAATTTGAACAAAAACTCCGGAAAATGCACAGGTTATTAAAAATAGAATCGGAAACGATAATTCGAGAATAAGTTAGTACGACCACTCGTTATATAGTAAGGCCAACTGGCAATTATTCAATTTAATATTTATTCAAAAACGCTAAGGCAATATACATTTCCTTCCTTCCTTGTATAAAGATAATCCGTTAAAATCAAGTCAAATTGCTGTTAATATATTATACTCTATATATATTATACTATATATTGATATCCAACATCCTATATATCCAAAATCCTCGTTACACTTTCTGAAAAAAAAAATATTCGAAAAATCCCGAATTTTTGCAATTCCAAAACTTCCTATAAAATCATTAAAAATCCCACAAAAAATTCGCAAATGAAATCCCCAAATCCCTGGCCGGCATGCAGGGTATTTTTGAAATCCTAAAAATCCTTTTTTTGAGATTGAGTATAATCCTCGACCTAGCCTACTCTGCATGCAGGCATCGCCATTAGATTATCGGGCAAAATTTGCTTGCGGGCAAAAAAAATTGTACCACGAGATATCCTCGATCAAATAAATAGTTTCATGGCGGGCGTTCTTGGCAGTATTTCAACGCGGTTACACTGTAAGTAGTAGTATATTCTATAATTGCTTTTATTCCCTTGTATTTTTTTGTAGTTCTCCTTGTATTTTTCTGATTATTGACACTGACCTATACACTGGCGCTGTGGCGCAGACCATTCCATTTTCTATAATAAACTGCCGTGGTTTTAAACAACCTGAAAAAGATATCTCAAAAAGGGGATCCATGAGGGGATATAGTATTCCGGCTACAATAAGCTATAACGTCTGGTTTGTATCTGAACTCATGAAAAAGATCTCTCAAACGTGAATATCAGTGTAGGTAACATTCTACAACGCGGTTTGTATATTTGAGCCCGCATTCAGGTAACTGAGAGGGCCGCCCGAGCTTGGGCCTGGGGACGAGGATGATTCAAATGGTGAATTCGACGCTCCCAACGGCAACGGAAGGTGGAAATTGTTTTTCAGGTAGTTCAGAGACCGACTACATACGGAAGCTTAATTAAAACTGTTATGTCGCTATATATGACATGCAGTTACATTGAAAAGAATACAAATTAAGTTGCTTATCTTATATGTTGCAATATTTTCCGATATCAGTATATTTTCTCAGAAAAATCCTATGTATTGAGCAGAAAAGGACTATGTATTGTGGCACTGTAATCTTTATAGAACGCGATCGCGGTGTTTGAATGAAAACATAACGCAAGGGGATTTTCTATTTTAAAGCTTCTTTTTATTTCTAAATAATAAAAAAATGCGAAAGCAAGAGGTCTAGCCAGTATATACTCAGACTATAGAGCCATTTATAGGATGAATTTGATTTTGGCTTTATCCCTTAATTTCAGACATACTGACTGGTATATATAAGTGCTTGAATCCTTGATATTATAGTACCTGTGTACTGCTATAGACTATTATAGTGCTACAAGTAAATAAGAGTCTTCACTCTTGGCAATAATTGCCCTTATATGACAGAAAACGAATATAAAAGCTTAGCCTTAAGCGATATAAATATTCTGCAAAAAAAACACTATATATAATATATTGACTGTTTATACTATAAAAGATTTGAATGCATATATACTGGTCATGAATAAACATATTGTTCAAAATTGTTGCTGAATATAAGTATAATAAGGCCTGTTTCTTTAATTAAGCTTTAATTTGATACTCCTAAATCAGTTTACACTCTGACTAGGAGATACTTATATATGTATATACATTAACAAAATAACTATGAACTATATATATATGAAAAAAATTAAAACTGGTAAAATTAAATGTACAATAAAAGTGTCCTGCCAAAATTACATTCAGTGCTCTTAATGCAGTTAATGCAACACTTTTAAAATCAGACTATCGCCGAATTTATTTCAGACGAATTTCAAATTGATGAAGGAATTAAATACGATGATGTATACTTTTCTCTATATAAAATAATATATATTACTTTTATGAAACACACTCCGAATTTTAACCATGATTTGTTATCTTGCATTATTAAATAGTCTTGAGTATATATTATATAATACCTTATTGAATTCTGATCGTTTAATTGGCTATTTATGGTCACGTGATATTGAATGAGAAAATTCCATTTCCCAAGAGTGCAATGGAATACGTTCCATTGCACTCTTGCGAGTGCAATTGTACTATACGTTTTATTCCATTGCACTCTTTGTGTTTTCGATAAATCGCATCCGTCAAAATGCTTCTCGTACGGCAGGGTAGAGGGAGAACAAAATGCCGTGGATCATTGCGGCAACGACGGTAATTTTTTGCCGTATAGTGCAATTTTTATACTATTCACTGTACATTACTACTTTGATACTTGAATTCAGATGTTGATCAAATCATGCGTAAATCACTATTTTAGTCTCAGTTTTCTTCGAAAAAAAAAACACTAAAGAAATACGTAGACATGTTTCTAGCTTGTCAACAATCCAAAGTAACAATAAAATTAAATTTTTATTACAGTAATTTGAAAAATGGCGTGGAGACTGCCAAAATTGCCGTAGACAGCTGTTATGTTTGATTTCAGGGAAATTCGAGGCCTGTCGTACGGTGATCGCAGTTTATTTTAACCCAATATTCCAACGGCTCAGTAAATGGGATTTAATGCAAATACGACTCGTCAAAATGGCGGGAGCTTACAGTAAACCTTTTAATATTAGTCTATTTTGGTATTATATAAAACAAATAATGAATGTTTTATTCGTGCAGTGTTAAGAATATTTTCATTCGGTGAAAGATGGAATGTTCCATTCAACTCGGCTGTCGCCTCGTTGAACCGAGAACAGAAAGTAAAACTCAGCCAAGATTGCCATTCCGAATGGGGCAAGGTCCCAGCCGGCGTCCCCCAAGGCACAAAGCTCGGCCCATGGTTATTTTGTATTATGATTAATGATCTAAGCGTTAAGGACGTTTAATGATTTATGGAAATATGTTGACGACTCATCCTTGTCGGAATCAGTTTGTAGAGATGGTCCAAGTAACTTACAAAAGTACGTAGATGAATTTAACCAGAAATCAACAGCTAACGGTTTTCAGATAAACGAATCAAAATGCAAAGAGTTGTGTATAAGCTTTGCACCAAGCATACGTGAGTTCCAGCCAATTACTATTAATGGCAAAATTGTCGAACGTGTAACATCGGTAAAATTGCTGGGTCTAACCATCTCAAATAACTTGAAGTGGAATAGTCATATTTCACACGTTTGTAAAAAGGTCGCACCTCGTCTATATTTTTTAAGACAACTAAAACGAGCGAAATTACCAGCTAACGACCTAATCCTTTTCTACTCCACCTGTATTCGACCAGTCATCGAGTATGCGTGCCAAGCATTTCACGACTCATTACCCAAATATCTGTCTGATGATCTTGAAAGACTTCAGAAACGAGCTCTTCGAATAATATTCCCAGATCAACACTACAAAGAAGCATTGAGGAACACGAACACCCCGTCACTGTACGATAGAAGACAGGAATTAACAACAAAACTTTTTAAGGACGTAGTCAATTATCCTGAGCACAAATTAACGGATTTGTTACCGCCATTAAATAATGACAATAGTCATTTTTTGCGTAAAAATAGGAAATTTAACGTGCCACTTCATAAAACGAACAGATTTAGGAACAGTTTTATCACTTATAACTCTAATAAGTTTTTTGAATAACTTAGAAACTGTTTTTTACGCGAATATGCTGGTTTTTAACCTAATCTAAATTAGCATTAGTGAGTGTTTTAGTAACAAATTATAAGTCTGCGCATACAGTATATATATGTGAATGTGTATTTTTAAGTATTTAGTCTAATCTTATTCGTTTTCTTAAACAAATGCATGTAAAATTAGTTTTAATATCCTTGTAAACCTAACATATTTCAGCAGTGGAATTAGTTATATTCTGGAGCTGTAAGTTTTAGTGGCAAATAAACTATCAAACTACTCAAACTACATATTTTTGTGCATGAAAAAAGGGGGGCCAAACATTTTTGTGCAGTATAATGCCTGCCCCGCATGACCCTGTCGTACCATAAAACCTACGGATAAAAAATAGAGAGCAGTAGAACTGTAGTAAACTCCAACACAACACCATTTATTAAACTGATTTCAACATAAACATGTAGATTGGAACAGCCATTGACTCAATAAATGGTAAAGAATATATATAAATTACGATACATGTACATAGGGCATAGTTGCCAACTCTCACGGATCCACCATGAGCATCGCAGATTTTACTAAAACCTCAATGTGAGCTCACAGCTTGTTAATATCTCACGGATTTCGAAAATAATCCAACTGGTTCTTAAATATGTTGGCTTTGTTGCACATTTTATCCATTAATAGCGACTTCATTTGCGTCAAATTACATAAAATTTTTCCTTCTGAAAAAATTCGCGCCAAAAATAGATAATCAAAACATCACTTCATGCAACCTCGTACTCGTGGGTATTCAACAATATGGTTTAATTTGTATATCTAAATAAAAGCTACCAAATGTTATGTGAATAAGGTGTAGAAGACTCTGAAAATGCCATTTCCAACGATCTAGAGACTTCATATTTTCAAAATTTCTTAGCTCGGCGTGCCACCATGTGGGAGGGGGGAAAAGTATAATTGTATTATCCTCAAGAGGGGGCAACAAAATTTTAGCATCTAATTTTTCATTTCCACATGCTCGAATATATTACAATATATTGCTGATGAAACGTATTATAAAAATGCAGAACAATATCAATGGCCACTCACACTATTTGATAGCCATTGGCATGCCATGTGTGTTTATATTAAGAAATATGTTAGTTAATCTCCTATATATTTTATATCTTAGACTTTGCTCATGTAATTATTAGTTGTGGACCTGTTGTAGTCTATAAAGACTAGTGAGTAGTGTAAATGAAATTTATAGAAATAGTTACACTCCGATATATTATATTGTAGTTTACATGTATACTAACAGAGTTTAGAATTACAACATCTGAGCCTGCTTCCTGGGATAACGTATCATAAATATATGGTTAGATGTTTCAAATCCTGCATGTATTGTATACCTTACTTGTATTAATATTCGCGTCGTATACTCATTTTCGTTCAGCTTTAAATTCGCGCATTCCAATTTCGCGAAACTTGTTCGCGCAGCTTTAAATTCGCGCAAGTAATTTTCCGTGTTGGTTCCTTTTGGTTTGTTTTTAACAGAACTATAACAACAAATACTTCAATATTTGTCAAAACAAAATTCATGATAACAGTAAAGCGTATAAAGTTCTAACTTCAAAATGTATGGTTTTCATTTGCCTAATACAATAACAATAACTAATTTTTATTAGCATCCCATATATTATAGGTTCGTATATGGTATTGCCTTACATTATATTATTTACTAACAACGAGTGAATATTACACCGCAAAGCTTTTCGCGCGGATTATATTTCCCGCAGTACTAAAATTTGCGCACCCAGCTCCGCGCGAATTGCAGAACTGCTCGAATTTTAGTACAAAAAACATATACAAATAAACATTTTTCCTAATTGCCGTTGTGCTGCTGTTTCAAGATGATCTACAAATAAACATTTTTCCTATAACTTGGAGATAATCTATATACAGTACAGAAAATATTTTTCCCGACTGCCATAAGTTGTTCTGCTGTTTCGGGATGATCTATATATGCTGCTGCTTAGCCAGATAAACATTTTCCCTAACTGTCGTTGGGCCGCTGTTTCAAGATGATGTACATTTGAAAACTTTCGAACTACTGTTATCTTACTTTTTTAAGATAATCTGTTGTTCGAAGTGGTATGTTGATGAATAAATTTTGTAACATTTGTGCGTTTTTTTCTTATTTTGGTGTGAAAAACAGGCACTTTTCTACAAATTTTAAATCTAATTTCGATGCTCAGAATGCAGGAAATGGTACTTGCGGGCTTCAAATTTCAAAAATTTTCTGGGGGGCA